AACTGCCCCAAGTCCCACAGAGACTCATTATTTTTAAATGCCTTTTCGTGTGGAACCTTGTCAAAGGCTTTTGGAAAATCTAAATCGCTAAGAGGCAAGCACTGAGCTAGGAATCGGGAGACCTGAGTTCTAGTCCTGACTGTCATTGGTTTATCACTGAACTTTGGGCAGGGCACAGAACAGCCCCCACCTCAGTTTCTTCATTAGCAAAATGAGAATGATGATGCTAGTCATCAACATCATAAAAATCTTACAACCATCCGATGAGACGATGTTATTTAAGAATGCTGTGCAAGCAGCAAAGGAAACAGTCCACAAAACCGAAAGACAACCGATAGAATGGGAGGAGATATTTGCAAATGACATATCAGATAAAGGGCTAGTATCCGAAATCTATAAAGAACTTATCAAACTCACCACCCAAAGAACAAATAATCCAATTGAGAAATGGGCAGAAGACATTTTCAGACATTTCTGCAAAGAAGGCATCCAAATGGCCAACAGACACATGAAAAAGTGCTCAACATCACTCGGCATCTGGGAAATAGAGATCAAAACCTCAATGAGGTACCACCTCACACCAGTCAGAATGGCTAAAATCAACAAGTCAGGAAACGACAGATGTTGGCGGGGATGCGGAGCAAGGGGAACCCTCCTACACTGTTGGTGGGAATGCAAGCTGGTGCAACCACTCTGGAAAACAGTATGGAGGTTCCTCAAAAAGTTGAAAATAGAGCTACCCTACGACCCAGCAATTGCACTACTGGGGATTTACCCCAAAGATACAAATGTAGTGATCCGAAGGGGCACATGCACCCCAATGTTTATAGCAGCAATGTCCACAATAGCCAAACTATGGAAAGAGCCTAGATGTCCATCAACAGATGAATGGATAAAGAAGATGTGGTATATATATACAATGGGATATTATGCAGCCATCAAAAGAATGAAATCTTGCCATTTGCAACGACATGGATAGAACTAGAGGGTATTATGCTAAGTGAAATAAGTCAATCAGAGAAAGACAATTATCATATGGTCGCACTGATAAGAGGAATTTGAGAAACAAGACAGAGGATCATAGGGGAAGGGAGGGAAAAATGAAACAAGATGAAACCAGAGAAGGAGACAAACCAGAAGAGACTCTTAATCTCGGGAAACAAACTGAGGGTTGCTGGAGTGGAGGGCGGTGGGAGGGATGGGGTGGCTGGGTAATGGACATTGGGGAGGGTAGGTGCTATGGTGAGCACATGAATTGTGTAAGACTGATGAATCACAGACCTGTACCCCTGAAACAAATAATACATTATATGTTAACAACAACAAAAAAAGAATGCTGTGCAAGGTAACAAACAAAAATATAAGGGATCGTTATTTGAAAATTTACACCAGCATCATCTTCATTCATATGCATGATTCTCTCCCACAAGAACTGTAGTAGGCACAGGCGCGGTTCCTCCCACACTACTAGGGTGATGTTTGCTTAACGTCAACTACTTGCACTTCTTGAAGGGATGCAGGTTTCTACGACCAAAAGAACCTGGTTCAACATGTGCTGGTGTAGTATGTAAACACGCGGAGGCATGGACAGAATCAGTCAGACTTTGGTAAGGATCAAGGCCATGCCATTCGCTAGATGTGTGACCATGAGCAAGTTATATTGATGCTTACTTCGCAGAGTTAGGTGGTTTACATGAGAAGTTAGTATGTGTAGAATGCCTGCACGAGACCTGACACACAGTACCCACTCAGTTATTGGCAGTTCTCGTTGCTATCGCTTACGTGAGGCCAAAGGACCCAGCAGCTGGACTGTCCTACCTAAATTTTATGAACGTCCATCATTCAGCCAATCCTACCACAAGCTCCTTTTATCCAAGTTCTGTGTGAGATTCTTTCAGCAGGTGGGTGAATGGATGCTTTCCTTTCTGTTTTCTGAAATAAGTCATGGATTGGGGAGGGGTATGGGGAGAGGGAAGCCTGCCTGCCTTTCCAGTGACTGATTTCCCATCCAGGCAGAGAGTGGAAAGGGGTACCATAACCCTATCCCGCCTCCCTGGGGAAGGCCCATGAAAATGTGCCCTAGGTGTTCCCTGCCCCCACCCCCCCCGCTCACCTGGTTTCCTCTGATGTCCACTGACATCCAGCACATCACCTTGTGCTAAAGAGCAGGGAGCTGGGGCCCAATGATAAAGGAGATTGATCAGGCACTGAATCCAATTTCCCTTGGGGATCAGACCACAGGCACTGCGTGGGATGCATATCCACCAGCAGTCCCTAGGGGAGCCTGTTCCTGCCGGCAGCCTGAGGGGGCTTGGAGACCAGCCAGGGTGTTCAGTATCACTCTTGTCACTCATGTGTTCCTGCTCCAGAGGTGACTCACAGCTGGGGATGAAGCCTGCCTGGGCTGGGGGCCAAGGCCATCACCACACGGTCAGACTTGGGTGGTAATCCCAATTGGTTTTGCATGATCTCTCATTTCATTCAGATGAAGGAAGGCCCTGGCCAGGATGGACATCTGCTGGCATGGGGGTGGGCACAGAAACAGGAGGGCTATTGGCTTCTGAGGCATTTTGATTTTCAGAGCTAAAAGTATTCTCTTTCTATTCCTTTATCAGTTTTGTTTGTTGGTTTGTTTGTTTTCATGAGCTTCATGAGAAATCAGCAAAAAGGACTTTCAGCTGCATTCATTTATTTCTTCATTTTTAAAATAAATATGTGTCAAGCTTGAGTATTTCAGCATCAAAATCAGGAATGACTGGCAAAAGCCTCTGGCATCGTATAGACCAGAGACAGACCCCGACCTCAGCCCCCTGCCTTTATTTAGGTGGCACGCCCCAGCGAATGAACGTGAAACCCACCAAGGAACAAGATCTCATGTAATGGGGTGGCAGGAAAAGTGTGGACTTCAGAGTCGAACTGGATTCTAATTCTGTCCCCAGATTTTATAGCTCAGGCTAATTGTTTAGTGCACCTCTGTCTCATTTTTCTCATCGTTTGTATCTGTATAGCAGTTAGGACTTTTGATGTTGCAAAAAAGCCTTTTTATTCTTTTAGCCATAAGGAAATAACATGAGTAACTAGAAAGTCCTGACAGAGGGCAGGCTTTGGGGTCATTTTGATTCAGTGACTCAGGGACATCACCAAAGACCAATTTTTTCCCATCTCTGTACCTAAACCTTTCCTGGCTTCAGTTCCCCTCTTTATGACAAGAGGGCTGCCAATAGCTCTTGGAACCGGCTGTTTCTTTGATATGTTGAGGGTGAGGAGAAATTCTCTCTTCCTGATCACAAAACACTGTCTGTCCCTGCTTTGCTCTGAGTGCATATGTTGATTGGCTTGGGCCTGTTTTCTTCAATCACTGTGGCAACAGAATGAAATTAAACTGATTTGCTCGCGCCCATCGGAAAGCACCCCCTGCCCCTGGGGAAGCAGGGGGGTGCATCCAGTCTTGCCCCTAGGTGAGAGAGGGTGGAATGGATGCTGGAGAGGCCATGGAAGTCAGGACAAATGACCACTAAGCCCACAGGATTGAGAGGATTACACCAATAAGGAATTGCGTGTAAAACCATTTCTTAGTGCCTGACGTCTAGGGAGGGCTTAAAAATCGTGCTTAAGAGGAAAACAAACAAATAGAGCCTGGAACAAGCCTAAAAGCAAACACATAAACCACAAAATAAACTAGTGTCAGAGTTCAGTGAATTCAACAGAAATGAGGGGCAGCAGACTTTCAGATGAACTGATGTCATCAGTTGGCATTAATGTGGTGTCCATTCTGTAATTTATTTGCTCTGAATAACTTCTCTTCTCCTTGAGCTCATGAGAAGTTACAAATTAAATATTAAAAATTAAAAGTAAGAGTCCATAATGGGAATATATGGAATATAATTTTTTTCTTTAGTTTTGTTACTGAAATCTCTAAAATTACATGGTGGGTACCTTACAGAGTCTTATACAAATGGCATCTAATCAAGTTTGGTGATCTCCTAGCTACAGAGGCATCTCCCTGTCTCCCTCCAGATGTTTGGTCCCAACTTAGGTGGGTGGCATTATTCGTACTGGGCAGCGATTGTGTTGAATTTATGAGCCCAGACTTGTAATGACTCTGATTCTAGAGACCTGGGCCAGCACCCCGGGTCAGATGAGCACCATGTGGCATTGAGAAGCCCCCGTCTTTCTAGATTTGTCCTCCACTGTGGGAGGTGTGGGCAAAAGTCTCTCCTGGTTGTCTCCACATTGTCCAAACATTTCTAGGGAGGCCTGAGAATGGCCCAGGGGTGATCTACTATGTTAAGTGTTCTCGGAAGTTTGGAGATGACTCATGCCCAATGCACATTTTCCTGGAATGTTCATATCCCCTTCCCTGGGGACATGAATAGAACCTCTAGGAGGTCTCAAGACCTACATCTACTCCTAAGCCTAAAGCAGAAGCCCGTAGTTAATGGCCAGAATGAGCCCACTCAGTGTGAAACTTCTGAGGTTGGCTCCTTGCCTGATTCCCCTCAAAGGTGTGGCAATGATAACTGGGTAGCCATTTCAAAGAATCAGCCTGCATCCTCACACCCACTTATTTTCTGAGAACAAATCTAGCAAATAATATTGCCTTTCTGTTACATGATGATACTCTGATCTGAGGCAGCTTCAGTTACCCACTGTTCACCCAATCCCTAGCCCCCGCTCCCCAATACCAGCCCCATCCTCTTCTCCAAAGATGTCCAAGCCAGGCCTCGAAGACTTAAGCCTGAGGCAGAGGGAACCAGAGAGGATAAGGCCAGGTGCTTTGTGGGGCCTGGTTTGGTCTCCTGCCTTCCCTTCTCTTTGCCTTTCCCAGCAGGAGGCCCATGGGGGGAGTGGGGCTTCTATTCGGGGCCTGGCCTCGGCATCTCAGAGGCAAAGCTCAGTGCCTCTCCCTTAGCTGTTGGGAGGGTCTCTGGGCTGAAGCTGGACTGCGGGCAATATAGGATCTGAACGCATGCCATCTCTCCTCTCTCTCTTCTCCACAGATCCGGGTGGATGGGCCCAGGGGCAATGCCCTCCAGTATGAGACGGTGCAGGTGGTAGAGCCTGGCCCAGTCCTCCGGGATATGGCCTTCTCCAAGGACCACGAGCAACTCTACATCATGTCAGAAAGGCAGGTAAGGCTTTTGGGCTCTCTTAGACATCTGTCTTGCAGCTAAGTACTAGCCTGTGGCCCAGTAGAAACCTACAGGAGGCCAGCTGCAAAGAAGCCAATTGATTTATTTGGCTCAGCATGTATCTTTTTGGTTATACTGCCTGGGGACTGAGGCCGAGTGTGCTGAAACGGGGAATAAAATATCAAAACACCTGGGCGTCTAGAACAAATCCACTAACTTCAAAGTGATGGGTGAATATAGATTCAGAGCCAACATTTACTCTCTTTTGAAGAAACATGGTACAAATGCCCAAGTTGTTTGTCCGTATTTCCCTACACAGAGTATAATCTCCTATCGAGGTCACCTTCTTGGACCCTGGAGGTCTATGGCGGGCAAGGATTTGTTGCCCAAATATCTTAGTTGAGGGAACATCATAGAATAGTCAAATGGATGGAGAGTCAAAAAACAGGGTCTCTGTGTGTGAAGTAAGATGATACGCGTGTGTTCTGAGCCTTTGTATGTACCTAGACCTCTAGCGTGAAGTTCCAGCAAATTCCATGAGGCCAAGCCAGGCAGAACAATAGGGTACAGGGATTACTGTTAACTGATACTGAGTAGGAAGTAGCAAAGTTGGGCTTGTTTCTGGAATTCAGCTGAGTACTAACTAAGTTCTTCAAGGGTCCTTGGCTTATACCAGGACTCATGTGTCTACAGCAGGCAAAGGTATACATATCATCTTGAAAATTCCATACATTTAAGAGTATGTCTGGAGTGCCCTAATTCACAGCCCAGTGTGTTTCACCCCCACAAGACACACCCACCTCAAGAGTAGACCAGCACTGTCCTACCTTGTCTCTCTCATCTCTGTGTGGGATGGGTCATTCCCAGGAGCTGTCCCTCCAGTCCATGAATATGTATGTGACAAAGGCAGCCGCCATGAGGGGCAGATCCCATCTCTTATTTATCTTCATTAGCGAGCCCTGAACTCCCCAGAGGACCTTGCTGACAGAGCCTGGATTGTTCTGCCTGTCCCCTCTCTGCAGAGTGAAGGAGATGAATGCCACATTATGCCACCCACAAGGCTTTGTGCATTATGTCTTGGCAGCCACAGCGGCTCCACCCTCCCCAAGAGCCTGATGACATCTTCTCTGGGTGTGGGACTCCCCACGCAGCCACACTGGGACCCATTGTGGTACCTTCATTGAGGCTGCCCTGGCTTGGGGATTGCCTGATGTGGGGCCGACAGAGGAACATTTGACCCCAGGAGCAAGGACAGGGTATGAGGCTGTTCCTTTGCTTTCATTCCTTGCTCTTTTTCAATGGAGCCCACACTCCCTGCCTACCTTTGAGGCCCCAAACACTGAGGAGAAGCAGCTTTCCTTAGACTCCTTTGGAGGAGAAGACCCAGTACCTCCACAAGGCATTATGTATTTTAATTTCTTACCATACCTGAAAGCCAAGATCTCTCTCAACCTGGAACTTTCTCTAAGAACTTCCGAAGATGGAAAATATAAGCTGTGTGGAGCCCCCTCTGATAACTGAGTTGGGATTCTGGGTTCCTTGTTCTTGCATTCTGCTTGCCTGAGAGCCGTCAGTAGGCAGTACCCACTCAGGCTTGGAGAATGAGGTACGCTGGGAGCTCTGGGTTGTTGGAAAAGAAAGGAAGGCGGGAACGGATGGGACCAGGGCATTCATCCCTTCTGGGACTGCTCCTCACTGAGATGGAGGGCGGCCTGTCATCAAAATAAAATCCCAAGGCCCCTGACAGCTGGCCCAACACTGGTATCCAGTGGGTTTGCACATTCTTTGTGAGGAGCGGTAGTACAGCACAACGGTTAAGTGCACAGGCTTTGGTGTCAGGATATCTGCGCATGAACCTTAGCTCCACTATTTACTAAGTAGGATCTCAAGTAAGTTCCTTAACCTCTTTAAGACTTAAGGTTCTCAACCGGTGCATGGAAGTAATAATAACATCCCATAGTGTCCCAAGGATCAAACAACATAGCACATGTAACAGGCATGAACCAAGCCTGGCACGGAGTGAGGGCTTGGTAAATGGAGTCTCGTATTCTTATGACATTGTGACAGGAGTGTCTGGGCATTGGTCGTGTGTGAAGTCAGGCAGGTGGTGGCATCAAGATTATGGGTGACCTATCAGGTATGGAGCTTTGGAGTTCAGGCCTGAACTCCCCAGAGGACCTTGCTGACAGAGCCTGGATTGTTCTGCCTGTCCCCTCTGAGGTGGGCTGGGAGCAGGGACTTAGTCCCAGTGGAAAGCAGATCAAGACCCCACAGGCTGCTTTGTTGACTGAGCATACCAAGTAGAGCTGGGGGCAAGAGCAGCTTGGTAAATATACTAGGGATATTCCGGCCTCTGTCAGCTGGTAGGTTGGTGTCAGCCATGCTGTGTCCGAGCACTTTGCAAGGCTGAGTCTACAGGTCAGTCTGTATATGCTCAGCAATGATGTCTGCTCTACCCGGAGGACACTTCCCTTTCTCGTCTGGCTAATTTTGCCTTGTCCTTCAAAACTGAGCTGTGCCATCCCATCCTGCAATGAGCAATGGCTGACCTCTGCTTAGACACCTCTCTGGTAGCTTTTCTCACCCCAGGCTGTCTTTCTCTCTTGCCAGACTGTCAGCAGCTTGAGGGCAGCCCTATGTCTTCTTTGTCTGTCTAAATCTCACCTAACGGGCCTTTGATAATTATTTGATGAATGAATGAATGAATTATTGATTGAATCCCCACTGTCATCACTGACCCAGAATTGGAAAAGAGGGACTGATACATATTATCTCCTGCTTATCTTAATTCCCAAGTTTAAACGTACATATATAATTACAAGACTACACTTCAGACAAAGGAAGTATCCCCCAAACGTCGGTCATCCGTTTATTACCGCCATAACTTCAACCTGTCCTGAACTATTTCTTGCTTTTGTGTTTTTATTTAAGTAAACATACTGCTTAAACCTAAATAGCCTACTTTAACCATCTCTTAAATAGTACTATTATAGATCCGATGTGCTAGTCATACATAATATACCTAATTATGATATTGTGGCTTATAATAAGAACATATATTTGGTCTTCATCCCCATTTCTGGCACTGAGCTACCAGAACCCTTGGAATTTCCTGAGTGATGAGAGCAATGGGAAAATCTTTTGTTATAATATTTGGTCTCTTGTCCTCAGTTCCTGAAATCTTCAGGAGCCATAAAAGTAAAATGGGTGTCTCATTATTCATAATAAGCCCCTTTCAACCACCACTGAATTTATGTTAATTTGGTGACTTTTGGAAATCCCCTAAAGAAGGGGGGGGTTGTTGGTTGTCAGGGGAGCCAGATTGGGGGGTCAGAAAAGGTAAGGATGGTATAACAAGTAGAGGCAGAGAATGGAGTGGTGTGTGCACGCGTGTGTGTGTACGTTGTGTGCGTGCACGTGTGTGTGTGCGTGTGTGCACGTGTGTAGGCACACGAATGCTATATATTTCCTGGCTCTGTGACCATAGTCAAGTTACTAACCCTCTCAGGACTTCATTTATTCATTCAATACCAACAAATATCGAGCACCTACTGTGAGTCAGCCACTTTCTAGATACTAGAGATTCAGTGGGGAACAAGATAACAAGACCTCTGCCCCGATAATGCTTATATTTTAGGTAGAGACAGACCATGAGTGAGTAAACGAATGAATGCTGCATGTCAGGCGATGCAAATACAATGAGAGATTTCACAGACTCAGTGGGAATAAAGTGGTGGTTAGGAACATGGTGGGGAATGCTCTTTTCAGGAAGGTTGTCAGAGGAAGCCTCCCAAGAAGGGAACTTTTGAGCAGAGAGAAGGATAAAGTCAAGTGGCAAGAGGAAACTTGGGAAGAAATCCTCAACCAGGCAGAAGCAACGGCTAGCTCAGAGGCCATGGGGTGCGAGCATGACTTGGTGCCTTGGAACAGGGAATGGAAGGTGGTAGGTGATGCACTGGGAGAGGCCACACCTCAGTTTGCGATCTGTGAAATGGGAATGTAGTAAATGGCATTGCTTTCCCTGATGAAGACCAAATGAGATAATGTCTGTAGAAAGAGCTTGGCTCAGCATCTAGAAGTGAGGGAACCTCCAACCTATTACGATTATTTGCAAATTGGATAATTCCAAGCCAGAATATTATTTCTGCTATTAGGAATATGTGAGTTCCTCTTCCTGTCTCACCCAGCGAGGCTTTCACTCTCCATATATGCTTCTCCTTGGTGTGTCAGAGTGAGGGTACTGCTGGGCATCTGTGTGGGATGTGTGTGTGCGTGCACATGTGTGTGTGTTCGTGTGTGTGCATGCACACACATGCACACCTCCTCCTGTGTCTGCCGCTGCCTGTATGTCTCCCATCAGCCTCCATCCTGCGTCGTACATATCTGTGTGTATGTATATGGTGTGTATTTACTAGGACTCTGGTGCTCCCGAGGGAATGTCTATACACACTGAAGCTGCTGTGATAAAAACCTGCCAAAGCAATAGGAGGGAAGTGAGAAAAAATGTCAGCGAGGCAGATGAATGAGGAGGTGAGGTGGCAGATCTGGTCTGTCCTCAGGGGCCCTGGAGCAGCCCCCCACCGGGGAAGAAGCAGCTGTCCCCCATACAAGGCAAGTCTCTCCGATAGGCCCCAGAGCAAGTGGCAGATTCAGCCACTCAGCCATCTCACACAGCAGCCCTCGCCTGCCTGAAAGCCAGCGGCCTCAAACACATGTTTCTGCTTTGGAGATGCCCTTGCGTTGTATCTGGGCCAAAGCCATCCTTCATGGCTTCTTTGTTTTACTGACTCCTGTTGACAGTGCATCTGCTTCCAGGGGACACTCACATGAGCCGGTGACACTCAGGTCCTAGCTGTGATCTGGGACAAGATGCCTGTGGGAGCTGAGGAGGTAGGTCTGGAGGTGGGTCCACCTGCACTTGGAGTTACTCGGAAGGCAGAGCCAACTGGGGCAGCTCTACTTGGCTCCATCCGCATAATCCAGTGGTCAAGTAGCGAGGG